TAACACCTCTCCTTATCAATGTATTTTGGTGCCTGACCCAACTGCTGAAGCCAAGCCTTTCAAGGCCAAGTCTTACAAAAGAAAACTATCACAACGCAGCAGCAAATCGAAGAAAAATTTATGTAAGCCATAAACATATTGATAAAGCTATTTATCTTTCTTAGACTCAACTAAAGTAATGTTGTAAGCCATCCTCTTATGGATACTTAATCTCCTGTGATTTTTTTACTGCACCGCCATACCTGATCAACTAAATTTATTTGCTCAATAACAAAATACCATTCTAAATGCTGAATGTTGCACAAGCAGCAGTTCATACACTATATTGCCAAAAGTATTTGCTCACCTGCCTTGACTCACATATGAGCTTAAGTGACATCCCGTTCCTAATCCATAGGGTTCAATATGACGTCGGTCCACCCTTTGCAGCTAGAACAGCTTCAACTCTTCTGGGAAGGCTGTCCACAAGGTTTAGGAGTGTGTTTATGGGAATTTTTGACCATTCTTCCAGAAGCGCATTTGTGAGGTCGCACACTGATGTTGGACGAGAAGGCCTGGCTCTCAGTCTCCGCTCTAATTCATCCCAAAGGTGTTCTATCGGGTTGAGGTCAGGACTCTGTGCAGGCCAGTCAAGTTCATCCACACCAGACTCTGTCATCCATGTCTTTATGGACCTTGCTTTGTGCACTGGTGCACAGTCATGTTGGAAGAGGAAGGGGCCAGCTCCAAACTGTTCCCACAAAGTTGGGAGCATGGAATTGTCCAAAATGTCTTGGTATGCTGAAGCATTCAGAGTTCCTTTCACTGGAACTAAGGGGCCAAGCCCAGCTCCTGAAAAACAACCCCACACCATAATCCCCCCTCCACCAAACTTTACACTTGGCACAATGCAGTCAGACAAGTACCGTTCTCCTGGCAACCGCCAAACCCAGACCCGTCCATCAGATTGCCAGATGGAGAAGCGCGATTCGTCACTCCAGAGAACGCGTCTCCACTGCTCTAGAGTCCAGTGGCGGCGTGCTTTACACCACCGCATCCGACGCTTAGCATTGCACTTGGTGATGTATGGCTTGGATGCAGCTGCTCGACCATGGAAACCCATTCCATGAAGCTCTCTGCGCACTGTTCTTGAGCTAATCTGAAGGCCACATGAAGTTTGGAGGTCTGTAGTGATTGACTCTGCAGAAAGTTGGCGACCTCTTCGCACTATGCGCGTCAGCATCCGCTGACCCCGCTCCGTCAGTTTACGTGGCCTACCACTTCGTGGCTGAGTTGCTGTCGTTCCCAAACACTTCCATTTTCTTATAATACAGCTGACAGTTGACTGTGGAATATTTAGGAGCGAGGAAATTTCACGACTGGATTTGTTGCACAGGTGGCATCCTATCACAGTTCCACGCTGGAATTCACTGAGCTCCTGAGAGCGACCCATTCTTTCACAAATGTTTGTAAAAACAGTCTGCATGCCTAGGTGCTTGAATTTATACACCTGTGGCCATGGAAGTGATTGGAACACCTGATTCCAATAATTTGGATGGGTGAGCAAATACTTTTGGCAATATAGTGTATAATCGGATGCAGTGTTCTACATTTCTGTTTCATTATATTGTGCTATTATCAAATTTCTATTGTTTCTACCAGCATGCTTATTTCATTTTATTTTCTTGGTGTCCAATGTGTACAGCAAAGTGAAATTTTTATTGTACAAGGAAAGGTCTTTCTTTTCCATGCAAATGACAATAAAAGCCTTTGTATCCATGTAAGATACAGATCATATCGTACAGTTCAAAGTTACCCCAACTTACATCAAAATGGTGAAAAAGATAATCTATTTATAAAATTCCTTTAAAGGAAAGGCAAGCAAGTTAATTTGTATAGCTCAATTCAGTGCCCGATAAAAGCAGGTAGTAAAACAAACAAGAACTTTTGTACAACTACATGAAACTTCTAATAGTTTACAGTTTAACTTGAACAGTCAAAGGCAGCTCTAAACATATGGGTTTTTAACTTTGATTTAAAAGAATTCAGGGTTTCAGCACTTTTACAGTCTTCTGTAAGTCTGCATGGAGCATACATGGAGCATGGGAACTAAATGCTGTTTTTCCATGTTTGGTTGTAGTTTAGTTTGGTTCTGGTACTTCCAAGAGATTGAAAGTTACCCAGGATCCGTTTTCTACACTTTAGTGAAGCATTAAACAGAGTAAAAAGTCCTCCCCCTTTTTTAAAACCAGTAAAATCGACATCTATTAACGTAATTAGGTCATTGATCAACACTGATTTTTCCAACAGAGATACTATGTTAATAACAGCCAGGTTTTTCTCCCTATAGCTGGTTGAGCTCAACATTGTATTCAAGTTGAATGGTTTACTGCTTTTGATTCTTTTAGCTCGGTTCTTTCTGCCACATAGAAAAACTGAGATTTTACATCCTTCTTCCTTTTGAGCCCGCAGCTTTTCCTCAAAAGAATCAGTTCTGATAAAGTTTCCACTGGTACCCTCTCTAACGCATTTTCATGTTTTTTTTTATTTTTAATTTTTTTATTAGGAAGCAATGCACATGTATGTCCATGTGCACATCCTTTTCACATTGGGTAACAGTAATTAACAATATGTACATATTGGCATCGTAAAAATATTGTGTAACTCGAAGAGTTGAGAACAAGGCATTCAATCGACCTCCTAACACATTTTCATGTTGAGGGGACAGATACATCTGTAGTGTTGGGTTGAATACAGGAGGTGGTGCTGTGGAGGGCTTGTGCGGGTCAAGTTGTGGTGGAAATACTTCTATTTGGCCATCTTGTTGCTTTGTTGTAGTCTGAGGTGTGGTGACTGTGCTGCAGAGCAATGACTGGTGTGACCTATATTACCTCATTGACCATTTTGACTGTCTTTATTCTTTATTAATTCAGTTTGTGGACTCATTCAAGTCCCAGAGAGACTCTTTATATGTTTTTTTTTTCATTCATATAATGTACTTTCTTAAGAAGCCAAATGTTTTTGCACCCGATCTATTCAGGTGCTATCCATCCCCCTTGAAAGGTGTCTCTTTTCCCAGAAGAAATTACATTTATTAATTAAGCCAATTGATCTCCTAGAACAGGCTTGTGTACATTTATTCAGGTAGGAAACTCTCCTGGAGACTTAATCTCCTACCAAAGTTGGTGTGACAGGGCCACTAATGAACACTTAAATATTGGTGTATTACACAGTGTTAAGCAGACTAACCATGTTTCCCTTTTAAAAGATGCATCTAATAAAAACCTAATGTTAGGTAGAATTAAATATTTCCATTATTTATTTCTGGTTGTTTGATTATGTTACAGTCTATAAAAACACAAAATGCATGTTATCTACATATTTTAGTACTGTCTCACACCAAAAATGTTTCTCAATACAGAAAGGTGTGTTCATGTTATAGCTGATTTATTCATTGGAAAGAATGTTGACTTGAGCATTCTCACATAAAAGTCCTTAATTTCCAGGTGGGCGAGCGTAATAAACTCCCATTTGTTCCCCTTCATATAAGGGGAATTGTAATCCTAGTAAAAATGCCAAGCATACAGCCAGAAGTGTTAATTATATATTTTTTAGCTTTGGAGGCAAGGGTGTCAGAGTTAGGGTGTCAAGCATTCAGAATGTTGGACATAGCATTCAAGCAGACAGCAAAAGATATATCAAACAACAAGCATTTATCAAAAAATAAGCGCTTACACTCAACAGCAGGTTTAGAGGTTAACTGGATCCTCTATAAAAAATGGAAACTCAGGTTGGTGACTTTGAAAACTCAAACTGGCCATGACAATGAGTATATAAGTCACTAACCTGGTTCTGAGTCCACTGCTTGCGACGCTAGCCACCTCCAAAGTTAGAAAGAGAATTCAGATAACATTTAAAAACATAACTTATCAGGCTCCTCTCCTGTGGAACCAACTACCAATTTTAGTCCGTGAGGCAGACACCTGTCTACTTTTAAGGCTAGGCTTAAAACTTTCCTTTTTGATAAAGCTTCTAGTTAGAGTGGCTAAGGTTATCCTGAGCTATCTCTATAGTTATGCTGCTATAGGCTTAGACTTCTGGAGGACATAGGGACCCCCATTTCATCATTCTGCTTCATTCTCTCTCTGTTCTCCTATTCTGCAGAATCTGTTAGTTCAATCACTAACGTTCTGCTCTATCTGCTTTTCCTCAGAGTAGCTTTGCCTCGTCTGTTCCTGTTTGGCTGTGACGTCATCCTGGAAAGAAACATCAGCTGTGCTGCTCCCATCAACACCCTTGTTTATAGATGTTGGAGATCGGCCTGTTTTCCAGTGTGGTCCTGTGACTGGGTGGATGTGCTCTCTTCGTCCTCTGACATGGGAGCTGGCTCGGAGCTCGTCTGCCTGCCTGTGTGTTTCCTGGACGGGGCCGCCTTTTACAGTTGCCTTTTGTGTCTCTGCTTCCGTCTCCTTGAACCCCAGTCGGCCTCTGCAGATGGCCGCTCACACTGAGCCTGGTTCTGCTGGAGGTTTCTTACTGTTAAAAGGGAGTTTTTCCTTTCCACTGTCGCTACAAGCATGCTTAGTGTGAGGGATTGTATTTGAGTCAATGAGTCAATGCAATCAACTGGTTTTCCTTAGATAGAAAACTTTGTATCAATTTGACTGTATGATCTGGTTGAACTGTAAAGTGCCTTGAGATGACATGTGTTGTGAATTTGGCGCTATATAAATAAACTGAATTGAATTGAATAATGTATTTTAAAAACTTAATGTTTTTATTTAAGAACACACACACAGATTTGACTCTGGACATATAAAAAGATCTGAATAGACCTAGATAAAAAAAAAATACACTGTTTTTATAGATGTAATAATGCCACTCTGTTAAAAGATATGCTAATTCACATTGACAACTATTTAAAGTTAGCCATCTGATGCAGAAGGTAGAGCTTTTGATATACGCCAGCAATGGTTTCAGTGTGGGCGTCAATGTTATTTTAGAATCACTTCCTGTTAAGTTTCTTTTTCTTTGAAAGACATCAAAGATGAGGAATGTTCAGAAATTGCTCTTCATCTTCACTTTGTGTTGTAAGTTTTTCATTTAATACAGCTTTTTTTATTTGTGTCAGAAAACTTTATATTATCAGACAATTGATTTTAAAGCGCTTTCTGATGTCTTCTGTCTGTAGTGGCTCTGAGCTGCATGGGCAGTGCTGAAGGTTTGATCAGGGTGTTTGGATATGAGGGGAGAGATGTGAAGGTCCCCTGCCCATACAATCCGGGTTATGAGAGTTATGAGAAGTACCTGTGCAAGGACAACTGTGATTACCCTGATATTCTTATCACAACAACAGAAAAAAACAAAACCAGGTTCTTCATCTATGATGACAAAAGCACAAGAATCTTCACAACGACAATTTCTAACCTTCAATCTACTGATGCTCGGGGCTATTGGTGTGGAGTAAGCCGGAATGGAAAAGATATCTACACTGAGGTGAAGCTAGAAACAAGAAAAGGTAAGTACATTTATGTTTATCTGTCAAAGTCTTTAACCATTTTATGAATGCTTCAAGGGCAAGAATCTGTGTATCAATGTATCAATTTCACTTTCAATTTGAACCCAATAATAAAAGATGTGGCACTGCAGTGTATTGAGTATCCAATTGGATACTGGATATTCTAGCTCCGCTAGCTCACAGACGCCGCTCCGCTCACAGGTTCACTTACGGACCATCATAAAATGTCAGAACCCAACACTCTTAAGAAACAAAAATAAATTCCTTGTCTTGTGACCAACTGAAATACACCCAATTAGTATCCCGATAATAGATTACAAAGAAATGAGGCACTCATTTCTTTTCAATTTTAAGTATTTTTAGATTTTATTCAAAATTTTGTCAAGATTTTAGATTTCAGATTCCAGGTCATGTAACCCACTGACTCAAAATCTGTGGGAAATTGTTCTATGCTACAATAACCCTACTGTAAAGTAGTCTGTACATTTGTAGTTGTTTTGTCTGGCAGGGTTAATACCACCCTTCTCAAAGTTGGTTAGTGCTTGTGAAAGCAATGACAGAGGTAATGAGGTATAATCATAAAAGTTATGAAAATATTCTATGAAGATTGAAAAGTTACTAAGTGTTGGATTAAGATAAAAAGCATGCAACTATCTGATGGAGAAAAATCAGAATCCGTTGTGTTGGCTTAGATTTTCTTCACAAACATGGCATTTGACTTTTGTCTCAGGCACTAACAAAATGTAGATATCCAATAACAATGTGTAATTTTTTATCCAGTTATTAGCTTAATTTGAGACATATTCAATTATTTTTCAGTTTAACATACCTAATTTGGTTTGTATTGATGCTTTGTGTGGGTTGCCCTTCTCAAAAACTCACCTATGTAACTTGACAGGGTCGTATTGCTAAGTATGTGACATTAGATCTAGAGCAGCAGTGTACAGCAGTCTAAGGCCCATTAAATATGAAAGCAAACCTTAAAAGTTACTGTTATGCAATAAATGGAATAAGGCATGATCAGGCAAATTAGGGGATTTGGGTTTGATGTATTTAATCAAGAGGGGTGATATATCTTAACAAAGAATTCCATGACTTCTCAATCTACTGGCTCAATTTGGTCTGCTATCAGATACCAAAATTTGGAGGGATGCCATTTCATTGTGCGTCAGTGCAATGCAGCACTGCTAATTGCTTTCAGGCTGTGAACCTTGAAGCTGTAGGTCTTGTGCACCCAGTGGATAAGAGTTACACAGCATATGACCTGCCTAAAATGGGTGACAGGGGATGTAAAGAGCTTCAAAATAAAACCAAAAACACCACAATCACTTACGTATGCTTTGACTCATCTGCCCACTTCCGAACAGACCTAACCAGATTTAAATGTTTTCTGTTTTTGTCTACTACTGGAAATAAGGTAATTTAAACAGTGATTAAAGAAGCTTGCATGAAATTCATCTTTTATAACTCTGCAATGGTGAGCCAGTATCTTTGTGTCACTAGTGCAACACTAGTGCATCTGTGATTTGGTAGTTCTTATAAGAGGTTTAAGAAGTTTAGGGTTTTTCTTCCCTGTGTCTGTTTAGTTCGGCTGTTTTTTAGTTTATGATGTGTAAGGATGCGGCACGATGTAAACACTGGTGCAAACAATCAAGGAGAACTTCCTTGGGAAATGAAAAGGTTTACAGTTTATAAATAAGAAGTCTACCAAGTGAGGACTACATGTCTTTTATAACCTTTTTATGTAAGATTCCACCTCATTTCTTTTGCTCGAGAACTCTGCTATGAAGTCTATTCAAAGCAGCACATAGGAAATTTTCTGTTGCTGATAGCATAAGCAGCCCTGAAAAACTGTTATAAATTAGATGTTTATAGAAATCTAACAGTTCTTACCTTTTAACATAACATTGTTTATTTATGGTTAGTGTGGAAAAAGCTTGAATTTTGAACATGTGTGGTCATAAACTTTGCCAAAGGTCACATGCTGGCATAAGCTTTAAATATTGATACACAGCCCATTATATACGTGATAAAAACCTGCTTCATTTTCACTCGTCTTGTTCTTTTTTTCACCCACTTTTGTAACTGTAAAATATTTACATACCTTAACCAACAGCGACATGACTGTGTGTATTATTACTTTTTCCCTATGAAAAACATGGGATTTACCATTTATTTGATTTGATTACTGCCTTAAAACAACTACTGACTAATGTGGAACAAACATACCTGTTGTCTTTGCCTTTATGTTTGCTGCTTAGGCAAAATGCATCGTTAAATGCCTCAGGTAATCTGCTTCACCATGTGGCCATTCCTGAGTTTGTGGTAGCTGTGTTTCTTTTAGTTGGCAACATGTCAATTAACAAAGACTTTATTTTGGGAGAAAAGCATAGCTTTGCTTTCCACTATTAAGCATGAAGGTGTAGTTACTCCTCTTGCTTCTCTTGCCTCATTGCTGTATTGCAATATACAACATGAAACACAAAGTCCAGTGTTTTAATTATGAAGCTACTATGCAACTGCAACATCATCTGATTTATTTTTTTTACAGACAGCTGCTGTAACACGGTGAATACGATCCAACACATTGAGGGGGGTTCAGCAGCCATCACCTGTCCTTATGACTCTGAGTCTGTCAGAAAGCTGAAGTACATCTGCAGAGGAAACCAGCCCTCCAAGTGTCTACATCAGGCAATGATCACCTCTAACAGCCCACAAAAAGGACGATTCAAACTCGTTGATGACGGACAGTCAAGAAAATTCACAGTAACGATTTCCGATCTGAACCTGAACGACTCAGGGTCTTATCTTTGTGGAGTTCAGAGTAATTCAGGACTGGATGTTTTCTCTGCCACTGTACTGAAAGTAAAGGGTGAGAGATCAAATTTACCTACTTGAAATGCATAAGAGTAATCATTTTCAAATAAACATATTGTAAATGGATAAAGGTTAAAAAAAAACTGGAGATAAGTTAAACACAAATTTGAAGTTATATTTATAAATCCTTAAATAATTTTACCATTTCTACTGTCTATCCAGAATGGTGCTGCGTAAAGTATGAAACCGTTAGAGGGACTGTCGGATTATCAGTAACCTTGCAATGTCCCTATCAGCCTGATCAAAGGAATAACAGGAAGTTCCTCTGCAAAGGAAGCGATCGAAGCAGCTGTAAAGACATGATCATGGGTCAAAGTAGATTCCGAGTGCTCAATGTTTCATCTCACTCTTTCTGGGTTACAATCAATAAACTGGAAGAAGGAGATTCTGGTACATACTGGTGTCGGTCAGACCTAGATTGGAACATTGGAAAGTACACCCAGTTTCATCTGTCTGTAGGTGAGAGGCAGATGGGGAGGGGGGGTTAGATCCACTTCACTGGTGGTATAAACTGCATTCCAAAAATTGTGACTGTGTCTCTAAACTGGAATGTCTCTTACCTTATATTTTACATGTTATATCAAACTGTTACAGAAAAAGAAGAACAAGATGCAGGCAAAAAGAAGAACTTAAAAGAGCCAAGACAACCAGCCACATTAGGTGAAAAGGTCTAAATCAATGGAGACAAATACAACAAAGCACTGCTGTAACTTTCTGAAGGACTGGTGTGGACATGTCCCCACCAACTTTGGCATGGAGGGGATAGTCCACACCAATAATTTCCACTTTTTTTTCGCCCTTTCCTCTGATTTACTTTAGCCAACAGTAACTGGGGTTTGGTGCAGCTAACTGTGCTCAGAGTGTTTTCAGTCCATGTTTTTTCCTCATTCTCCTGCTGCTCTCGAGTCCCACCTCTCTGTGAAATATCATGGGATCTGTCGCTTTAGGACATATTATTATTTGGAGTCGCATTTGACTGCATACAGAGTAACTAGGTGGAGGAGAGACACAGCAGCATTCAGTGAATTTTAACCGGCAGCTACTTCGATGTTTCAGTAAAAGTTGGGAGACTGGTTGGTCTCATGTATAACTGATTTTTGAAATATAAGGTTCAATACATAGACTTAGGCTGTCAACAACATATATATATTACGGTTGGCATTGGTATCGGCTGTTATTCGTCATTTTTTATACATTAATGTTTTTGAGCCCTTTATAAATAATTCACTAAAGGCAGGCATCTGTCTATAACTATAAATAGCAGTATACTGTGGTTCTTTTGTGTTCTCAACAAGAGGAAAGCATTCAATTAATGTATAATTAAGCTCATTTTTGGAAAATATAAACCCTATTGAAAGCATTTGGGTGGAGTAGCTGTAGATCCATCAGCCATTATCCTTAGAGCGTCACCACCAACCTTTGTTGCAAGTTAAACCCTTGCAACAAAGGGAACTGAGAGAGAACTAACTCAGAACCTGTCTTACTTACATTCATCACATTTAGTATTCAGTTAAACTTAGTTTGCACTGTTCTCACATTTTATAGAAAATTAGTCACACAATGAAATAGAGCTACATATGAACAGTTGTAAATTATGATTATCTTAGAAACCTAAAGCCTTTGACTTTTGCTCTTCATAATTTCACAAAGCTAGAGCAGAACTCAAGTATGATTCAGAAAAATTTAATCTGCTGTTGGAAATTATTCTAATCCAGAGCTGTAATGAAACAATTTTTTCCTTTGACAGCATATCCACACAAGAGCAGTACAGTGAAACCCATCAATACAGCTACACCAGCTGCCTCTAACGACCTCATTAAAGGTACAGCAAGTATTTGTTTTGATTGAAGATTTATATTAAATTTGAATACAAAGTACTTATGTTACATTCTAAATATTCCTGTTAATGTTTTATATTGTTGATGGTGGTTCACTGCTTTGCTTAGTATAAGTAATATGAACTGGGCACACTGATTTGATATTTTATTGTAGAGCTTGAAAAAAAAAAATCTGAAATAAGAAGCATTTCTTTTTTCTGTGTCATAAAGGGATGACTGCAGTTCAAAAATAATTTAGGTTTTCGATTATCCAAAACTGAAATTGCTTTCAAAAGGGAAACTAAAAAATTATTGATGATTTTTGACTTCGCAAAAAAATGTGCACAGCACTCTACACACAGATTTTAAAAGTGGGGGGGGGAATAAAAACAAATTTTGCAAATAATGTGAGAATTGCAATGGAACTGTATCAAATAGTCAGCACATATAAAGAACCCAATTAATACCAAGGACTCCAAGAAGCTTTACACCACAATAAGTCCTTTAGCCACTGATACACAGATTTACATGCCAACGGTGAGTAAGCTACACTGTAGGGAGATCTGCACCGGGGGCACGTCCATGCCTCCACGCCACAGCACACACTGACAACCAAAAGTTTGCAAAGCATGAAAATGTCTTGCACAAAGACCCAGAACCTGAAATGGTTGAAGCAGGGGTTTGAACCTGTAACCCACAGGACCAACAGCTTAGCTCCTGAACCATGAGGTTGAAACATAATCTTCCTCTCCCACTTGTGATATCTGCACACTGTCAAATTTGGTGCTGTTGTCAAATAAGTGACCACATGCAAATAGGCACGCCTTTTTTTGTATGCTATTTTAAACTGATTTCATTTCTGCTTAATCAAAACAGAAAGCAGAACTAAAACCACTGTTTTAACTTTGACTTACTCTTTTTTGACACAGAAAAAAAGAGAAACACTGTATTTCAATTTTGTGATACAACGGATGAGGAGATGGATGGGTGTGTCTGCAGTAATTCGGGTGATAGTCGGTCATGGTCAAGAAAGAGCTGAGCCAAAGGCCCTGCTCTTAGGTTACTGTAGGCTTGAGCAAATAAATGCAAGTAGTGGAAATGTGTTATTTCTGACAAGCATTGCTTTGCTTTTATAAACATTGTTTTATAATAGACTTCCATATTACAGTAATGCCTATATAATTATAAACAAAACCAGCAGGACCTATTTTTCCATCCATCCGTCCATTTTCTCTCACTTATTTCATCAGGGCCAAGCTGATGCCTGTACCTATCTCTGACTCACAGCAAAAATGTCAGTGTTAATTTAACAACCACTGTGTTAACTTGGACACCAAAAAAGTGTCTATATGTGTCTGTTGGGTTTAAATCCAGAGAAATGTGAGTTTAAGAGGACGAAATGATCAAACACAGACAGGGATTTTGTAACGTCAGCCTCTGCACAGGGGAGAAAGACTGCTGGCTCACAACCAGCACCTTTTCACACAGATCCCTTCACAGCAAAGCCTTTTATTAACAGTTTACAACATAATAGGGCGAGTCTTAAACAGAAAACCCAGTAATGATTATCTGGCAGGATGCAGGTCATAAGACAGTGTGAAATGACCATCTGGCTGGATGGAAGTCACACAACCGTGTGACTCTGCATCATGACCTTCTGGATGCAGGTCATAAAAGATTATGACCCTCCTGATTGAGTCACAGGACAGAAATGTAGCATAATTTTATAATTATAACTCTAACAGTGTCCACACTAGCTAGTGTTAAAATAACATTTATCAAAGTTTTAAAAGACTGACACCTAAGTTGTGATAAATTTACACCAGCCATTGTTGATTGTCCAACAATGCTGGGTGTGTGGTATTAACATTACACTGGGGTTTGTGTCAAAATATGTTAGAATTAACACCAGTGTGGTGTCAATTCCAAAGCCAAATATGTTTTTCCAATCCAATCTAAAAACAGAAATATGTCACTAGTTACACTGGCCACTATTGTTAACACAAAACCCACACTATTTAATTAACACTACACCTAAGATTTTAACACTGGCATTTTTGCTGTGTATGGGCATAAGGCAGGGTACACCCTGGATAGGTTGCCACACAGTCTCAGGACAACAGAGAGACTAACACAGAAGCCAGTTAATCTAACACTCATGTTTTTGGACTGTGGGAGGAAGCTGGAGTACTCCAATGAGAAAGACCCCCGGCTAGGAGTCAAACCCAGAACCTTCCTGTTGCAAGGCAAACTTGCTACAAAATGCACCAGTGTGCAGCACACTGATTTTTTCCTTTGACCAAATTTCAAATATTAACTTTGATGCTATTACTTATGAAACACTGAAATACTTGGTGTTGAAAGGAATTGATGTAGTCCATCATTTTTTCTTTTCCTCGTTTAGGGCTTCCAGATGTTGCTCTTTTTTCACTTTCAGCAGTACTTCCTGTGCTGCTGCTGCTGCTTCTCAAAATAATCCTGGTCCATGTTTTCAAGAACAAATGTAACAAAGTTAAATTTAATGCTCCTAATATTTTCAATTCAGACAAAAACAGGTATGCACTTTTTATTTTTATCTTATATTTTGTTTTTTTTCCAGATACCGAAATCATTGCAAACTGTTACAAGCTCGACTTTGCAGATGCACCGGATGTGTGGGGTGGAGAAGATGTAAGAAAGCTCATGTCCAAAGCTTTGTATTGTGGTTAATGTATTATCACACTGTCAAGCTTTCAAATGCGTTCATACTTGACACATCCTTTTCATCAGATTACATCCAGAATATCTGTGGAAGTCAATATGCTTAAGCTTGCTCTCATATTCTAAGTTTGATTAAGGTCTAGACTTTGACTAAGCAGTTGTAACACTTGGATATGTTTTGATGTAAACACTGTCCTGCTGGAAGAGGGACAGTGTCAAATCCATGCCTTTTTTCATATTGAATTTCCCTTTATTTGGCTCCATCCATCTGTTCATCAACTCTGACCAGCTACCCTGTACCTCACACAGAAACGCATAGCCACAACATGATGTTGCCACTTCCATTTAACACTGTGGGAATATAATTTTCAATGTACAGTTTTGGTCCCTTCTGACCAAAGCAAGTTTTTCCACATCTATGCTGGTTCCTGTATATGATTTGTAGTTTTTCCAAAATCATCCCAGTCAGTGTTAATGCTGCTGAAGATATCAGCAAATTGATATACCACGCATACCAAGGGTCATATAGCCAAAACTTTGCTGTCAGATGCTAAACTACAAGTGCAGTTAAAAGATTCAGAAAATGTGGGAAAAAATGAATATTTTTTGTCAACCATTTCAGAAAAAGCTAATCGAGCAGATAAACATAATGGTAATTTAACCACTGATTGTTATTATGCTGGTGAAGATTCTCAGTCATCCAGGTCATAGTCATTCCAAATCTAAGCCAAAACAAGGCTTCGTTTGGCTACTCTATAAAGCCTCAAACTCAACACTATTTCTGACATTTTGAATTGTAAAAGCTTCCTGGATGGGAAGCAAAACACCTTGAAACTTGGAAACAAAGTCTGGTGGATTGTTTTTTTTTTTACTTTTCGACACTTTTTTGACACTTCGGCAGTGTGGGCGGTTTCAAAGATCGACGGGAAAATGAAATCAGCATCACCACAAAGCTTATCATCAGAAAAAAGCATGAAATGGTCTGTAGGTACCAGGTGGCCACATTGATTGTGGTCTTGACAAAATACCGTAGACCAACACCAACAGACGACATGCACTCCAAAATTGTCAAGGCTCAAAAAGTAAGACCCAGAACTCAGGCAGGCAGAACAGAAGTGTTTTAAAACAAAACGCTTTATTGACTGCTCTGTAAACTGTGGTTCGTTAGCTCCAACTGGTTTAATGGAATCTATGTAGAGGCAGAAACTCAGGTTAGTGACCAAGAAACTCAGACGAGAAAGATAGCGAGCATGTGAGTCATTAACCTGGTTCCTAAGTTCATTCCGAGGCCCAGAGGAAGGAGTAGAATCCAGCCGGAGGATTTTCCGAAGTATGCGGCGGGAGCTGCCCAGAGAGTTCCAGAATTGAAGCAGAGCAAACTAAGCAGAAGCCAGCAGACGAGGAAGAGCAGAAGAATTCGAACAACGAATCCAGAGCAGGTATTGATGCAGGAGCAGATGTCTAGGCCAGAAGATCAGAGAGACGAAGAGGTTTTCGAAGGGGAATCCAAACCGTGTTCAGAAGACAGATCCAAGGTTTTTAACAGGCAGAATCCAAACAGCAGTCTGAAGATAGGACAGGCAAAACAGACAGGACAGGCGCAAGCAAAACTCAGGAGTCCAGAGGCAAAAACTAGTCAGAATCAGGTAATCATAAACACAACTGGGTACGCTATAGAACCCTGACACATGGCTCAAACAATCTGGGTTAAGCAGGGCTAAGCAGGTCAGCTAAGCAGGTGGAAGAGATGAAGTGTTGTCATGGGGTTTCTGTTTCTATGTTGGTTCTCAGTTAAAGGAATAGTACACCCAAAACATGATTAGCCTTCATTTTCTACTCACCCCCATGCTGAACAACACTCTGGAGTACTTTTTTGATATCTCCAATGCATCTGGAGATCTGGGAGGCTTCTTGCTGTCTGCTGACATTCAAATAATGGAGGTCTATGGTGACCGAGTCAGAAAGGCCCATAAAAGTCCACAAAAAACGTGTCAATATTCCTCCATACTGCTCGTCCAATGTATTCCAAGTGTCCTGAGTGGGTAGCATCCAGAATTTACTCGAAACGAAGTAATTTAGAATGTTTTTAGAGCATAAACAGTAGTGTATAGGATTTCCTGAAAGCGCGCACATGCGCGCTCACGACGCTACGGAAGCCGGCAGACCAAACCAGCGCATTCAGCTCGGCAAAGAACTCATGCTCTTCCTCAACACTGAAGTCCTCAGACATTTTTCTTTTGTTGTTTCTTTCTTTGCACAGGTAAACAGCACATTTCTTCTTCTACGCTTGCATTATTCGCAGAGCAGACGCTGAATGCGCACTTTCATCTGGTTTGGTCTGCCGGCTTCCGTAGCGTCGTGAGCGCGCATGTGCCCGCTTTCAGGAAATCCTATACACTACTGTTTATGCTCTAAAAACATTCTAAATTACTTCGTTTCGAGTAAATTCTGGATGCTACCCACTCAGGACACTTGGAATACATTGGACGAGCAGTATGGAGGAATATTGACACGTTTTTTGTGGACTTTTATGGACCTTTCTGACTCGGTCACCATAGACCTCCATTATTTGAATGTCAGCAGACAGCAAGAAGCCTCCCAGATCTCCAGATGCATTGGAGATATCAAAAAAGTACTCCAGAGTGTTGTTCAGCATGGGGGTGAGTAGAAAATGAAGGCTAATCATGTTTTGGGTGTACTATTCCTTTAAGGTTGTGATAGAAGATTTTTGAAATTCTTTGGTCTTTCGATTTAAACTTTAATCTTTTTCTACTAAAATGCCTTGCTCTTTTTGTATGGATCACTTTTTTTTTCTTCCTGCTTTTGCTACACTGAGGCAGATATGCATTCACACTGCATGTGAACCAGCCCATGGTTTCGATAAACTATGTAGAGACTAAGCTGACCAACTTTTCCTACTTTTGTGGGACTGTTGCATTTTTCACTTCTGTCCTGGTGTACCACACATTAAAACAATGTCCCACATTCGACCAGGTGAAATAAAAAAAAGTAAAAAAAAAAAACAAACAAATTGAACATCAGCTTTACTTTAATGCAGAGAAAGCAAAGCTGCGGCAACTTTAAATCAAAATACACAGCTGGCCCCATGTCACAACCAATTTGCACACAATTCCTCTGACGCATTTTTACCATGTGGCTTCAAGATCTACCCACAGCCGCTTAGCAAGCAGTAAAATAGAAGGCATGGAAGTGAAACTAAAATAAATGGTCCCGCTACAGTGAGAAATCAATGAATAATCCCAACCAATCACAAAAGACGGTCCATTGTCCACGATTGGTTCCTGACACGTCAATCATGGTCATCTGCTTGTCCTTCCCCCCTGTGCGCGTACCCTGACTCATGAACGAATCGACACCCCAATGCTCGCGCGGGATGCCATGGCTGGAAGCCACACCTAAAGCAGCAAGAGCAGCAAATTGGGTGCTGCGTCATTTTTGAATCGGGTAACCAGACGTCCTCTTTTTCCAGGCATGTCCTAATTTTCATACCTAAAAAAATGTCCGCGGGGAATTTCAAGATCATCAACTACAAAATGGTCGACTATAGTGCAGCAGAACCGAGCCATCAGCATCGCAGGGGTTTGAAGTTGGATATTGGATATTCATGCTCCGCGGAGTCAGCGGTGTGTTGTTCTTCGTTTCTATATAAGAGACGAGGCGTGTATGCTTGTTCTGTATATTTATTTAGAACCTCACAGAACCAACCAGTAGCAAGCTACATCCCGAACCGCAGCCCGCTCTGACCTCCAACCCGTGACACCACACCCTGTTGCATGCTGGGTATTGGAGTTCAAGAGCTTTCCAGCTCATAACATCACATCCCTTCTCCTATAAGAAATAATATTTAACCTATAAGAAAAAAAACCCATTTTCTGTAAACAACTTTTCACTTTAAACCATTTTTTTTTCTTTTTTTTTTTTACAAACGTTATCAAGTGCCTCTATGCATCCAAACACTAACTTGAAACAGTATCAACATTAACTTCTATCATTCCAACATTTCAGCTGTTCCTTTTCCTGCAAATAGGACAAAAACATAAAGTCTTTAAAGTAAGTTGCACTACCAAAGCAAACCCTCAGCAACTCTCAATTAACCTCTTAGGAGGGTGAATCTGTCTCTTAGGCCTAGCCAGCCTTTCAGGAGTCGCTGATGTAGACACATGGGAAGGTGTCACATCCGCAGGTGATGCAGATGCTGCCGATGCTGCCGTCAGTCCACTGCTAACCAACCCTCCTGATTCTGCTGGGTCCTGCTGGTCCATCTCCTGAGCTGCCATGTCAGTTCCAGTCGTCTGTAGTTGAAGATCCGTGAGATTCCTCCTTAGAGACATTCCATTCTCCACTTGAATCCTGAAGGAGCGTGGTGCAACTTCCTCCTCCACCCGCCCTTTTTTTCTCCAGGTGCCGGTAGAGATGTCCCTGAGACGCACCATATCTCCAAGCGTCAGTATTGGAAGATGTTTTGCCATCCGATCATGCAGCTTTTTCTGTTTTGCTTTTTGTTCCTCCTTCAGCTGCGTGACTTTGTGCGCACCTTTGGGTGTCAGCAGGTCTTCATTCACCGGTAGGTTGGAACGAATGCGTCGACCCATCAGCATTTGTGCTGGTGATAGTCCGTTCTGAAGAGGTGCACTTCTGTAGATCAGCAGGCTTTTTTGAAAGTCGTCTCTGTCCTGTACTTTTTTCGTCATGTTTTTTATTATTTTCACTGAACCCTCGGCCAAGCCATTAGACCTTGGGTAGTTTGGACTCAATGTTTTGTGCTGAAAACCCCATTCTTCAGCATAGGCCTCAAACTCACAGCTGGTAAATTGGGGCCCATTGTCCAAAAAAAGTTCACATGGAATGCCGTGTCTGGCAAAGACAGTCTTTAGGAAGCTGATAACTGCCTTGCTTGACGTTGACTGCAGCGCTCCGACTTCTGGGTAGTTGGAAAAGTAGTCAGTGGCCAGGAAGTAACTTTTTTCATCACAGTCAAACAGGTCAGTACCCACCTTGTAGTAAGGTCTGTGGGGCACCGGATGAGTCATCAACGGCTCTGCTTGTTGTTTTGGCCTGTGTATGCGGCAAAGATCACATGATGCTGTTGTCTGGCTGATATCATGGTTGATTCTCAACCAATACATTACTTCTCTTGCCCGACGTTTACACTTGACCTCTCCCAGATGACCTTCGTGTATCTTTTGGAGCATTTGCTTCCGTAAAGAGGATGGGATTACGAATTTGCTCCCCTTCATCACTATGTCGTCCACCACAGTGAGCTCTGCTCTGCAGTTCCAGTAGTCTTGTACTGTTATGGGGCAATCCTTTCTGTTTTCTGGCCATCCTTTCTGAATTGTGATCTTGAGTTCTTTCAGTACTTCATCTGCACTAGTCTCTCTCCATATTTGTTCTGTTCTGTCACCCGTTATTGGCAACGACGACACGACCATGTCCACGTATGCTTGAATCTCTGCGCTCTTTTCGCTGTCTGCACTTTCCTCCTTATCCACTGCCCTGGACAAGGTGTCGGCGGTGTACATGTATTTACCCTGCGTGTATAACATGTGCACATCGTACTTATGTAGCCTGATAAGCATTCGCTGTATCCGTAAGGGACAGTCGTTCAGCGGCTTAGACATGATGGACACCAAAGGTTTGTGGTCAGTTTCCACTTCAAAAGCTTGTCCATATACATATTGGTGGAAACGCTCACAGGCATACAAGCTTGCTAACAGCTCCTTTTCTATCTGTGCGTACCTGGATTCTGCACTGGTCAAGGCTCGAGATGCATAGGCGACAGGAAACCACTGCCCATCATGTTGTTGTAGCAGCACAGCTCCAAGGCCAAACATTGACGCATCTGCCGAGATCCTAGTGCTTCTCTCTGGGTCATAGAACTGTAACACGGGTTCCTGTATCAAAATCTTTTTCAGCTTCAGAAAACATTGTTCCTGCTCATGGGACCAGACCCATTCATTCTTTTGTTCAAGAAGAATTCTGAGAGGTGCTGACTGCGCTGACAGTTGTGGGACAAATTTAGCCAGATAGGTAACCATGCCTAGAAATTGTCTGACTTCATCTTTGTTTTTTGGTGTTTCCATGTTGTTGATTGCTGATGTTTTTCTTGGGTCAGGCTTAACTCCCTCTTCACTGACAACGTCTCCCATAAATGTAAGCGTTTTAACTCCAAACTCACATTTGTCTTTGTTAAGCTTCTGATTCACCTCTCTTGTTTTGTCAAGAACTTGTCTCAGCCTTTCGTCATGTTCTGCACGAGTAGACCCCCAGACTATGATGTCATCCATCATTGTTTCTACCCCTGGTATGTGCTCAAAAATCATGTGAATAGTCTTATGGTAGACCTCAGGTGCTGATAGGATACCATACGGCAGACGAAGAAACCTGTACCTGCCCTCAGGTGTGTTGAACGTGCACAGCCTTGAGCTCTCCTCATCTAGCCTTAGCTGCCAGAAACCTGATGAAGCATCCAGTTTACTGAACCATTTAGCTCCAGCAAACTGTGCCATGATTTCTTCTCTGGTTGGTAACTTAAAATGTTCTCTTTTGATTGCTTTGTTTAAGTCTCTTGGGTCCAGGCAAGTTCTCAAAGCACCTGTTTTCTTTTGCACAACGACCAGCGAGCTTACCCATTCAGTTGGCTCATCTATTTTCTTGATGACTCCCAGTTTTTCCATGCGCACCAGTTCTTCTTTCAGTTTGTTCCGGAGTGCAAACGGGATCTTCCTGCATGGATGTACAACAGGAGACACACTTTTATCCACAAATATTTTATGTTCTCCAGGTAAACATCCAAGTCCCTCAAAACAGTCTTTATAATCCTCCATGAGTGAGTCATGGTCATTCACAGTACCTGGCGACGTCACTACAAACACTCTTTTGACGAGATTGAGCTTTGTACATGTCTTTAGTCCTAGGATTGGTTGCACATTTGCATCCACAATTAGCAGCTGCGCCTGTATCTGCTGACCTTTGTGTTCAAAGGTTGCGATGCACCCACCTTTAACAGGTATGCGTTCTCCAGTGTATCCTGTCACTTTTGTTTTTATGGGATGAATTTTGCTTTTTACAGTCAAAATTTTATAATCCTCCCATGATAACAGGTTTACATGTGCACCTGTGTCTAACTTGAATGGTATAACTGTCTCATTTACTTTGATTGGCATTATCCATTCCTCTTTTTCTGTTGCACACGCTTGTACCACATCCACTATGAATTCACTATCATCCTCGTCTTCCTCATCAACTGCGTGAACCTTCTTTGCGGCAGCTTTGCAACATCTTGCATAATGATTGCTTTTCCCACAGTTGTTACAGGATTTCCCATATGCTGGACAAGATTTTGGTTTGTGAGTGCCTGCACATTTACCACATTTAAATTCTGCAGATTTCTCTTTCTGTTTGGTAAATGTCTTTTTTCTCATCTGCTCTTTATGTACTGCATGCACTGTTGTTTCATCTCTCCGTAGCTCTTTTGCTTGTGCTCGTGTAGTTTCTGCTGCCCTACACATAGTGACACACTTATCTAATGTTAGTCCAGTTTCTCTGAGCAGTCTTTCTCTAAGTGCATTATCCACAGTGCCACAAACAATCCTGTCTCTCACTAATGAGTCCCTCAGATTGCCAAATTCACATGTTTTACTTAATGTGTGAAGCTCTGCTAAGTACTGATCAAAAGGAAGTCCATGTTTCTGGTTATGAGTGAAAAACTTGTACCTCTCAAAGGTCACGTTCTGTTTAGGCACAAAATACTCTTCAAACTTTTCCATTAGCTGTGCTAACGTGATATTAGCTTCGTCCAGCTGGAAACTGTTATATATGTCCAAAGCATCTTCTCCCATCACATGCAAAAGTATGTTAGCTTTTAGCTTCTCATCATCAGCTCCTGCACCGCTTGCTGTTAGATATATGTTAAATCTTTGCTTGAAACGTTTCCAGTTATCAGCAAGATTACCAGTCAATTGCATAGCAGTGGGTGGACTTAGCTTATCCATGACGTCGGGGTATCGAGACTTCCGCCACCCTCTCTCTGCGGTAGCTGTCCTTCAATTCAGGTACTAGATCCTCTTTTTTTTTTTTCCCAGTCCGTACCTCGTCCCCTTGCCTCACTTCCACTGCTTGCAGCCACTACACGCCTTCGTGGAGAAGAAGAAAAAATAAAAACTGCCACAGCCTGTTGCGCTGCAAGCTTTTGCTCTCTTTTTCTTTTTATCTTTCTACCGTGTGGCTCTCCCGTGGCAAATCTTCATTCCGTAACTGCCAACGGCCACTTCTGACACCATGTGTTGTTCTTCGTTTCTATATAAGAGACGAGGTGTGTATGCTTGTTCTGTATATTTATTTAGAACCTCACAGAACCTTCCAGTAGCAAGCTACATCCCGAACCGCAGCCCGCTCTGACCTCCAACCCGTGACGCCATGCCCTGTTGCATGCTGGGTATTGGAGTTCAAGAGCTTTCCAGCTCATAACATCACAAGCGGGATCTAGCAAACAGGTTGATCCGACTGAGGGACTCCGATGTTGACCAGTGTCTCTTAACTGCTCCCTCCTTCCACACGTGGTGGTGCAGTTAGGGACCGTCAACAAATCTTTGAGCCAAGCACCATTGAGAAATCAATCAAGAATCAATAAATTCCTTATCTTATGACCAGCTATGACAAAGCGAATATAAAATCATGCCAATAGATATCATATGTAAGTCGCAGTTGCTTTTATGCAATTTTAAGCTAGTTTCAATTTTTAAGATATTTTTAAAGACAAAAGTTGGGACTTTTCTTCAATAGCTTCCAGGTCATGTGACCCACCGACTCAACTTCTTTGTGAAATGCTTTTACTACATTAGCCTGATGAAGCACATTCATTTCTATTCCATTTTAAGCCTTTGTAAAAATATACAAAGATAATTGATATTGCTTCAATAGCATCCAGGTCATGTGACCCACTGACTCCAAATCTATGTCAAATTGTTCTACTACTTTAGCCAGATGGGGCACACTCATATTTATTCCATTTCAAGCCTTTGTACAGTTTTGCCTTACCAAGCACTGTAAGGCGGACAGGGGGAAGAACTGGGTCAGGTTTGGTCACACTGCAGGCAGCATGCGCGTTCATATGTTTTGAAGGCGTGGTTTCGAGGGGTGGTCTGAAGAGAGAGGCATGGTTGTGTATGTTCAAAAATATAGTTAGCTGGAACCGTTTTTCCAAGATCTCCTACAGCACCTTTAATACAAAATATGGTGGAAACTAAATTTAAGGGAAAGAAAATGGATCTGCATCAAAGACATTCAAACTGTTTCTGTGTGAGGTCATTGAAAGGGGATTTTTGCTAATCTTTTTATGAATGTTACTAAAATTCTTTTTAAGTGTTATGTGGACAGGAGTTTCATATAAAGCAACTCTAAAAGTGATTTGCATAAGAAACTAACAGCTGAAAAAGCTGTGCTGTCCCACATGTCCCTCATAGGCATCCTTGTTGTCCCACAGTTCCTTTTTTGGAATCAGGTCACCCTAAAAACCTAGAGTTGTATCCACGCAGTAAAGTAGTAAAGTTCTTTGATCCCAAAAATTGCAAGGACAATCAAAGAGTTAACATTTATAAAATAAGAGAGCAGATAACAATAAAAAAATTAAATCAGTATGAAAGACCAGGTGTTCACAAACATTTCAGGCTGTGACCCCAAATATAAGAATGCAACAGGCTTGTGTATGGAGATAGATCAGTCTCAATTTTCACAAATATACATATGTGATTCATACATGCACAGGACAGGATCCACACATGCACAGCACGATTCACAGAAGTACAAAAAAATCCACACACACAAAGGACAAGATTCACAGATGCACAGAACGATTGACGCAAGCACACGAGATCCACACATGCACAAAACAAGATTCACCAAAGTATTTTTAGTCCATAAACAATTATAAATGAAATTACAAAGTGGCAGTGTTCTTTAAACTTCACTGCATTTGTGTGGATTTTTGAGACTCTTCTGACGTGCCTCGGTACACAAATGCATTTTTTTAAACAGGCGAGGGTTTGCCACTAATCTCAAAGCTTCCTTGTATAAGCCAATCAAAAGAAAGTACTCCACGTGCCATGACTTATCTCCAGATTCCAAATACTCCCCTCTGCCCCACTCACTTATGTTGTTCGGAGCATTTGAGAAACAATTAAAAACCAACCTCAGTAAAAACAGAAAATTATGTCTTCTATTAAGATGCTGTGACATGTTTTCACAGCGAGAAAGTAGCAAAGTTTTAGAAGTTTTGCACGACAGCACTGAATATAATGTAACGTTCCACCATCAAAGTGTGTGTGAATGACTGACTGAATGACTGAAAAAATTATAGAATAATCATAATGATGTGCATGACAAATAGTTGTCAAGTAGTCGGTTGCAATTTTGCAATTTGTGTAGGGTTGTCAGACCAAATCTATGTTAAATAAAAACACAGTTGTGACAGTGCTATTGAATGCAGGAGTTTGCCCTGCAACTAAATGGTTGCTGATTTTAATGGTTCAAATCCCAGCTCAGGCTTTCAATATTGTTGTATCCTTGAGCAAGACACTGCACCTGCATTGCCTGCTGATGGTGCCTGGTGCACCATGATGCCTGGTGCACCATGGTGCCTGCACACGAAAGCAACCTTGATTCAGATGATTCAGTTTGCCCCAAAGCAAACTGAATCAAGGTTGCTTACGTGTGCAGGCACTCTGACCACCATGGCCTGACTTGAAAAGATGCAATATAAGTACAGGCTATTTTTTCACTTCATAATCATCCACTTTGTGATGGTCAATCACGTATAAAATTATGATAAAATACACCGAGGACTGCAGTTGTAACCTTCAGCAATGAATATAAGTTAAGAAAGTATTGATATTTGAGCAAGAAATTAGACCTAATTTCCATAAATGTATTTAATAAGAGTTTAATTATGCCAGCTGAATGTTGTTACATGCAATAATGATGTTATCTGTTGTTTCTTTTTGAAGGTGTATCAGAATGATGATGCTATAGTAATGAGAGCAAAGCAGGGCACCATGAAGCAAGAAAATGCCAGTTATCGCTTTGACAATGTGTATGGAAATGAAGCTGACTATGAAAACGTTACAGAGAACGAAGATATTTACTGTAACGAGGAGTTCCATAAAGCCCTGAGAAAATAAAGAAGCAGTTTACTTCTTTTTCCTATTAATGTGCCCATCTTTATTTGTAATCTTGAGCTTTTTGTTTTTTTCCTTCTCTGGTAATTTTGTGATCCAGAATATTATTGCTTAAACTAATGTTTGTTTTAATTGTTTCACATAAGGCACCATCATGGTTTGGTTTTATTAAAACACATGTGCTATTTTTCCACTTTTGAGATCATAGACAAATCTGGTAAAAAATAAAAACATTCTAAAAATTGTTGCTTGCATTTAAATAAGAGGAAGTCTATGATGCATAAAATTATTATTCTATATTAATAACTTTTTAAAAATTGGAGGAGCTTCATGTGGTTGAAACTGACAACCCACCAATGTCAAAAAAAAACATAGTAAACAGACTGAATGCTTAGTGATTCATTACTTATTTGTGCACTTATATGATAATTTGTAAAAAATAAAATGAATAAAAAAGATAATGTGTGCTACTTTTGTTTTAGAGATATTAAGAGTATTTTTTTGTGTCATCCAGAGATGTATCTTTGTCAAGGGACAAGCCCAAAGGAGGGAAATCCCCCAGTAGGATCCACCACCTGCAGAGGGAACCAATGCAAAGACTGGTCAGCAGTCTGAGGCAGAGGTATTGCCAGCCTGATCAATGAATTAAGCTGGCTCTAGGGTCAAAGAATGTCACCTCGCTGACTAGCAAATCGTTCAGTTCTTCTGGACGGTGAAGCATTGCTTTGATTACACTATTGATTTTAAATTATTAATATAAATAGTATGATAATGTATTATTCAAAAGGAATTAAAGAATATGTACAAAGTTTACCAAGTCTTTTAGTATAATTGCAATTTCAGAAACTTGGTTTGATATAGATATAAGCATAAATTTAAATGGTTATACTTTATCTTAAAAGATATAGAAACAGAAAAAAACAAAATGGGAGGTTGAGTTGCATGTATGTACTGATGACATTAAATATAAAGTAATAGAAAATATGACAATGTCAGTTATGCGTACACTGGGGTGTGTAAAAATGGAGATCATAAAAGAAAAAATATATTGTAAGCTGGTGATGCAGCACAAAGGCTAAGATGTTCAAACCAGTTTGGTGCTCTACAGGCAGTTTGAGAGTGGCTGTAAAAGGAGGATTCAAAGCCATTAAAATGGTGCTAAAAAGGACCTTTATTATTAAAGAAAGTTTAATAAGAATATATAATAATTTTGTTAAGTTTATGCTATGTTAACATGCAATAAATATTTACATTTGCATAACTCTTCACTTATGAATTTGTGTGGTTTAGTCATGACAATATGATCTTCGTATTGATGAAGACACCCATAAAAAGAGATTTGCACATGCTGTCAGCTTGATTGGAAACACAAATCACTTTCAACCTGCCTTGAAGATCTGGTCTGCCTGTTCAAACATGATAGCATATTTTTTAAGGCAAACCTGCTGAAGATCAGGCCCTTTATGTCAAAGCATGCTAAATGCTGGGTTGGGAGTAACATTGTTACATAACAAGGTATTGGCTCTGGGACCGTAACGTGGACGGGTGTTCAGCATACAGTAGCTGCTCTATGCTCAGACTAAGAGAAGAGATGTGAGGTGATGATAGCGAGATCTAACTCAGTGACAGCCTTCCTAAACTGGAAACACACTCTAGAGTCAAAGGCTAACCGTCCAAATGATTTGCTCACATCAGTTACAAGCAGTTCTGATCTATTAAAGCTCTTGACATTCTATTTATTGTTTTGCTATTAACTGCTATTTGCTATTAACAACACCAACTTACAGTTTTTTCTGAATTCTTAAACCATAACTGTGATTTTTTTAGAACAATTTCTAAAACTATTAATACTTAACACGTAGCAAAACCAGTCACTGAGTTTTCAAAAGTAATAGCACAAATACTCAGTTTCCAATTTTGTAACCGACACATTTCAAAACTGTAGGTACAATCCACAGCACACCACTCTTTTTGCGGAGCTGTAAGCATAACTCATTGCTTTACACTCAATATCCAAATGATCAACACACTCCTAGCAAATCTATACACATATATGGCTCTTATTTACACTATTTTACTAACTGTCTGGCACACTGCCACGTGTTAAAGCTGTTTTAGATTATAAGTTCACATTGCAATTAGCCTAAGCACTATAAATAAGCCACAAATTAGCTGTCTGTGTGGACTACATTTGAGGGAGCCAGAAGTGTAAGAATTGGAGGAAGCTGAAGAAGAGGACGTGGAGATGAAGAAGTAGGAAGAAGAGGAGGAGATCAGATACGTCATCATATGGGGCACTGTTACAGTTTTTCTCAATTGTTTACATACAAATATTGGTACTTGAAACACAATGACCACAAAATGTAACTCATGCACCAACCCCCTGAACCAATTCTGCTAAACTACAAGCACAATTCCTGCTTTACACTCAAATTGCAGTTCTAAAACACACTTTTTCCAAAACTCCACACACAATTGTCATGAAGAAAATCTTTTGTTTTCACAAGGAACACAGTTATTCAAAACTCTAAAGTTAATTTCCCTACTATGCACACTGACTCCTCACATGGGCAAACACCTAACACACATGTTTCCACTCAGCAATCAGAGCTTTAGCATAAAAGGGCAACAGGTGAGCTCTTCTGTTTTGGAGCAATGGAGGCCAATGTTGTAAACAGAGGCAGAGCCAGAGCCAGAGGAGTGAGAGTAAGAGGAGGACGATGGGGAGGACGAGGACGAGGAAGGCCAAGGACAATCATTTCTGATGAGATCCCAGCCACTTTGGTTGACCATGTGGTCAACCATGGCCTAACAATGAGGGAGGCTGGGCAAAGAGTACAGCCAAATTTGAGCAGGTACACTGTAGCATCCATCATCCGGACTTTCCGCAATGAGAATAGGTAAGAAATCTACTCTCACTACAAAACTGCAGTACTGCATATCAATACAGTACTCAATGAGTACAGTAGTACAGTATTACCTGTGGACTGTTCTGTAGGACATTGTGTTTCGAGTATTTGGGAAATGTATTCCTACACAGTATTTACAGTATTGCACTCTTTGTATTGCAGAACTGAAAGATTACCAACAAGAGGTGGACGGGGGCGTCTTCTGTCTCCTGAACAGGAAACAGAGATCATGAACATGGTTCTTGAAAATAACGCCATTACCTTACGGCAAATACAAAGAAAAACAATAGAAAACAATGAGATATTTCAAAATATTGATAGGGTAAGTTTATCAACGCTGGACCGTGTCTTGCACAGAAATAAACTGAGGATGAAGCAGGTCTACAGGGTGCCATTTGAGCGCAATTCAGAAAGAGTCAAAGAATTGCGATATAACTACCGTATTTTCACGACCATAAGGCGCACCGTACTAAAAGGCGCACTCTCAGTTATGTGTCCCATTTCTGTATTTAACACACACATAAGGCGCACCGGACTATAGGGCGCGTTTTTTATATACAGGTACATGTCCTCTACTACCTTTAAATACCTCTACTGCGTATTTAAAAATACAGCGGGGGCAAAACTGAGTATGACTGTGCTTTATTCATGTATTTATTACAAAGTATTAATCAAACCTGGCAGCTGGCCGTGAGACAGACACATCGCAGATGACACAGCGCTGTGATCACTCCTAAATTAACTTAAAATCCTGAAACCTGCCGACAGAATATGTTCGCTTTTATTACCGGTATCCTGGTTCCTGCAGTTTTAATTATTTAGATGAAAAACACCTGCCAGCAGCCGCGGTGAACGAAAGGATTTCTACTGTCGGTGCACCGCTGGTATGTGGGGGTCTGAGCGCCTCCGACAGAAATAGATAATCTGGATGAACTGACTGCAATTATGAAGTTTTCAGGTGGACTTTCTCACTTAAAAACATTAAAACTACTCAGGAAATCACAGCAAATATAGCTGCAAGATTAAGAGTATTTAGATGAAAAAACACCTGCCAGCCACCGCAGTGAAGAGGAGGAGACGCGCCCAGAGGCTGCTGTTGAATTAAGTTTTCAGGTAGAAAAATAGAGCGGGAGCAAAACTGAGTATGATTGTGCTTTATTCATGTAGGCTATTTATTACAAAGTATTAATCAAACCCATCAAAGTCATCATCCTCTGTTTCTGAATTAAACAGCTGCGCTAAATCAGACATGCCAGTTTCCCCTTCTTCGCTGTCAGTCACTTTCCGTGCAGCGCAGCTCCTCAGAAATAATGCCGGATTTTGCAAAAGCTTGAAGAACAGAGCCAGCAGACATGTTATTCCAAGCATCTACAATCCATCCGCAAACTGTGGCGTAACTTGCCCGGCGCTGCCTCCCACGTATCCTGAAACTGTGGTCTCTGTCGGCCATCCATCGCTCCCACGCCGCTCGCAGCGAACGGGCGCTTCACACCGATGTTGGGCGGTTGAAGTTCCTTTGTCAGACCCCCCGGATAACGGCGAGCACAGCGTTCATTGATTCACCTTTTTTTTCACATCGGCTGTGAGATGGGCACGCAGCGATGGTGATGCGTGGAAAAAAACACCTGTTCTCCTCACATACACCTGCCTCAGCCACGCTTTCATCATCTCCTCATCAATCCAGCCTTTTTCATTTAATATCATATGTCATCAGAGCGCTGTGTCTGTCTCGCTGTCAGCTCCCAGATCAGCTTCTCTGATTGGTTGATGCGGCGCGTCCAGCAGCAAAACTTAAATTTTTCCATCTGGAGCAGCAGCAGCGCGTTGGCGGTGCGTCAGATGCTTAAACGATCCCGACGTGCTGCACCTGCGGCTCAAAACGCGCTGCGGGACCTTTTGCTGCACCTATACGCGCGTCAACCATTGACTTTGCATGTAAACTCGCTGCTTCTGCTGCACCTGCTGGGTCCGGTTCACACCGATGTCGAGCGGTTGAACAGCGAGCACAGCGTTAATTTGTTTCCCCATGTTTTTCACATGGTCTCCTTACATTCAGCCACTCTTTTATCATCTCCTCAATGAGGTGGTCTCAAAAGTCGCAGTTACAACACACATAGGGCGCACCGCACCATAGGGCGCACCGCACATTTTGAGGGGAAAAAAAGACGTTTAAGTGGGCCTTATAGTCGTGAAAATACGGTATGTGCAAGTACGTCCTATACATTCCCACCCTTGATGCATACTGTCAACATTGTATAAATCATACATATTTCTTTCTATTATATTGTAATCATAATGAT